TTCGGGTTTGGGGCTTAGGGTTTGGGTTTAAGGCTTAGGGTTTAGGGTCTAGGGTGTGCTTTGAACGTTGACCGAATTAAGACGTCAAGACACTAAGGACAATATGTGCGCAAGCAGCAGATTGCTGCAGAAGCTGTTTTTGCACTTCTGCCTGGAATGCGCGCTTCTAGTGACAGCTTACCTGTTTGCTTTTGTTGCTGTTGCTCTTCTTGTTACTTGTGCTGCAGTTGGTAATGGCTCTACTTGTGGTTGTGGTCGCGGCAGCAATGCTCTCGTCAAGTATCCTAATGTCAGAATGACTAAACACCGCACACCGGAACAATACACAAATTCCTAAGCCCGCTTGCACTAGTCACGAAACCCTGAATTCCTAATCGACTTACACTCCCAAAACCCCAAACTCAAATGCCAAGTCCTGCAGACCTCTCAATCCCTAAACCTGCAGTCCAACAAGCTTACCGACGAGCTTCACATACCTAAAATGACCTAAAAATCAGATACTCTCCCAAGTACCGGCCCAGAAATACTGTCTTGCGAGAAAAACAGGATTTCATCTCTGAGGCTCTTAGACACTTAATTACTGAATTCAAAGCCCTCAGACAACCAAAACCCTAAACCCTAAACCCTCAATATCCCCTATTAACCCTAAACCCCAAGCCCCAAACCCTAAACCCTAAACCCCTAAACCCCTAAACTCCTAAACCCCTAAACCCTAAACCCCTAAACTCCTAAACCCTAAACCCTAAACCCAAAGCCCTAAACTTGGTGTCCCGGCTGCGGTGCCGGAGCCCTACGGCAAGCCACTGCGAGGCCCGCCAGGCGAAGAACCAACTGTCGGCTGCTTTGCGGTTGAGGATTTTGGGTTTAGGGTTTAGGGTTTAGGGGTTTAGGGTTTAGGGTTTAGGGGTTTAGGGGTTTAGGGGTTTAGGGTTTAGGGTAGTTTAGGGTTTAGGGTGTACGGTTTATAAGTTCAGCCAATTAAAGGCTTCTGGGTCATTTCAGGTTTTATTGGCTTCTATGGTTTAGGGTTTTGCGGTTTAGGATTGTGGCTTTGGGGTTTAGGGTCTCATGGTAGGGTTTATCTGCGCGGGAGGGGGAGGGGCTGAGGGCGCGGTCTTTTGAGGAGCAGCTGTACTGATACTGTTGATGATATAAACCCTGCATTACTATAAGGACCCTAAAGTATAGGATTTATGGTATATTCCTTATTATGGGTAATGCAAGACTTAAAACATCAACCGTATGAACAAACTGAACAATCCGTAACCTCCTTAAACCTCCATGTGAAACGGCAGAGGTTTGAGCTCAGCGTTTAGTTGAACGGACCTCTCATCCGCAGAGCCCGCCGAGGATTAGGATTGAGGCTATTAGGCTTGATCTAGTCATACCTACAGAAGACCCGATGCAACTTGTGCTGTGTTTGAGGGAATGAATTGGTTTTGGGCACAGTGCCTGTCGGACGTTACACGAGGAAACAAACATTGAAGGTCCTGCTTGTGTGTGTGTGTGTCAGGTTCAGGTCCTAAACCCAAGTGTTTCCAGGAGTGATGAACACACTTGATGCGGAATGGAGGTTTAGAGCTTCGGGCTTAGGGATGTTAAGGGTTTAGGGTTCCGGGTGTATATGGGTTCAGCGGAAGGAAGACAACGACTGCTACCACGACTGCGACTGCTGCAAAAATAAACAGATAATGCTTCTTTTGGCTATTTCTGTCATACCTGGTTGGTTGTCGCCATCGTGGTCGTCGTGTGCCTCGCCACTGCAGTCAGTAGCATCATCATTATCACCATTGCAACTGTTGTATGCATTGTACTTTATCATGCTATGATGCAAGCGAAACCTGACGCAACCTGCAATACCAAAAAATTACCAAATATACATCCGTATACAGATGTGCACAGCACTTGTGAACACTGCGATGCGCTGACTATGTCGGCTTCGAACCGCAGCACAAGTATGACGACGGGCACTTGGGGCCGGCGACACGGATGCACATGAGACGATGAGTGAGACAGGCTGTAGATGCAAACAGACCTGGAAAGAAAGAAAAGCCTGGCTCCACCACCAAAACCGATAATTCGCATGCGGGTAGTTTTCTAAATTAGGGTCCCATTTTAGGTCCCCAATATAGTACGGCACCCGTATACAAAGGACCCAAAAGGGACCCTAATTTAGAAAACTAGCCATGTGCACCCTAGGTCTGGCCCTTGAGCCGCGAACTCCAACTTCCCCAATGCTCCCCAGTTTAGGGTTTAGGGTTTAGGGCTTTAGGGTTTAGGGTTTTAGGGTTTAGGGTTTAGGTCATCCTCAGCCCCTCAAATCTTGCAGCTGCTAATCATGCACGGCCAAACGGATACTGTCAGACGCTGGACCGAGACTACATCAAATCTCCTGTGACCCCAGAACTGACAAACAATAGGCTCGAGTAAGCTACTACTCCGGAACCCCCCAAAAAAACTTACTTACTTCTTTTTAAATGCAAACATAAACCTTCAACGCCCAAACCCAAAACCCTACACCCTAAACCCTACACCCTACATGACCTACCTGGCTCAAAAGCTTCTCGGTCATGATCGCCGACTCACCTGGCTTTGCCAGGCCAGAACGGCAGCTTTGCGCAGACGGGGGAATTAGGATTTGATTAGGGTATAAGGCTTTGGGTTCAGGATTTCGGGTTTAGGACTTTGGGTTTAGGGTTTAGGGTCTAGGGTTTAGGATTTTGGGCTTATAGTGCATGTGGTTTTGGACCCGCAGACCTGGCACTCGACGAAGCTTTTCGGGGTTGGTCGGTGAACTACAGACGGTGTATCCAGAACCCGTTGATCCCAACAGCCAAAATCCGTGATTCCTACACGCTCTCCCAGAAACCACGATCCTCACTCTGTGCAGCCGCGCTTACCATACGTATATGAAGCCCTAAGCCCTAAACGAATCCGAAAATGTTCAGGCCTGGCGTTGACGAGCTCAGCTTCTGCAAATCCACGAAGTACCTCCAAGGGTTGTATAAGGGTACTACAGGGGCTCTGTCCCCAGCATTCCCAAGCTAGAAACCCATGCAATTTGTTTGGCTTCAGGCTTTTGGTTTGGGGATTCCGGTTTTTGCGAGTTTAGTATAAAGGCCTGAATAATTAGAATAGGGTTTGGGGGCCCATTATACTATACCTATAATAAGGAATCCCAAAAATAAGATTGGTAATTACCTAGGCCCCCTTACATTAAGACTTTGGTTTCAGGTTTTGGGGGTCAGAGTTTGGGGCTCAAGGTTCAAGCTGCCAATGCTGCTCCAAAGATCCATTCGAACCCTATTCTAATTACTAATTAGGGTTTAGGGTTTAGGGTTTAGGGTGACTAAGGCCCATTCGGATGTTTAAAACCCCTAAATCTAAAACCCAAAACCGCTAAATCCCTAAACCCCCCTGGTGAAGCTGAAGCCCCTGCAAAATGCCGACAGGTGGCCTTTGGATTATAGACTGGTGGACTCTGGCGTTTAATTACTTGCGATGTAGATTCAGGGATTAGAATGCAGAACCCAGTTGGGGTGTAGAGTGTGGGATAAGGTATAGTTATACCGCAGTTGGATTGCGGGGAAAATGACTAATTACTTTTCTACTAAACCTTAAACCCTACCTTCAGGCACATGCATGTTTACAGATTGGGAAACAGCGGAAAAGAGCCGTAACGCCACTTCAAAGAAACCCGTGAAGACACCCTGAGCCCAAAATCTTTATGCTCCAACCCTTCCATCTACCTACCGATCTGAATAAACCAGGAACTCCCAAAGTCCTTGAAGCGAAGATGGGTAACGTACAACAAGCTGGGTTTCCGCGTTGGCATCCCGAATGATCCCATGCATACTCGAAGACCGTATACCTCAAAGCCAGGACCATGCATGCAGCCAGTACATGGGCAACGATTTGACCACTTAATTCCATATCAAACTGAGATCTGAACAGTGATCTTGCGGAGGACGTCCCTCATCCCAGAGTTCGTCTCCATTCCCCCGGTGGCGTGGTGTGCTGGCTGTTCCAGCATTTGACAAACGCCGAGCACATGCCCGAGAATGAGTAGGAGAGCACTCATGGAAGGGATCGATTTGCTTTGCTTTGCATGAATGCCCCCGATTAAGCCATGCATGTCTCGGTCCTGGCACAAAGGAGGTTGCCAGTTCTGACTGTTTCCCTTTCCTGGAGCCCTTGAGGAAGGAGTGGACACCTCCCGGTTGTCCAGGCATTGAGGAAGGTCCAGGACGAGCCTAAGGGTCTCGCCTCGCTTTGGGAAAGAGACTTACAGTACCAGGCCTTGCCCACCTAAACCCCTTCCCCCCCGAGACTACGGTGTAGTACTGTGATGAGAACTTGTTTCACTAAGAAGTTGGAGTTTGAAGGTCTTCGGGTTTAGGAATGTCGAGGGTTTAGGGTTTAGGGATGTTGAGGGTTTAAGGTTTAGGGATGTTGACGGTTTACGGTTTAGTGTTTAGGGGTTTTCAGGGTTTAGGGTTAGGGCTTAGGGTGTAAACATCCAGACTCTGGATCACACACAGCATTCTTGTCAATGTGTGACGGTCTGAAGTTACTTTGCTCGGTGAAGGCCTCCCCAAAAGCATGAAGCCCCAATTCGGGAGCTACACATATGTTGCGTTGTATGCCCCGCCCGAAAAGAACAGTACATGTATATATATATATATATATACACACAACCCTTCGTATGTGTGTGTATATATATGTGTGATAAAAACCATATGCCAATTATCATATGCGCATAGAGATATCATAGAAAATCGAACAAACCTTCGAGCCTCGGGAACCCTCCATCCATAAACCCGAGATCACCTCCCGCACCCCCCACACCTTGAGACCAAAACTTTCCTAAACCCTAAACCCTGAACCCTGAACCCTAAACCCTAAACTAGGAAACCCCTAGAGGAACCGCCTTAACCCCAAACCCTAAACCGAAACCGTGAAACCCTTAGAGGAACCCTAAGCCCTAAACCCTAACCCTAAACCCTAAACCGAAACCTAATCCCTAGAGGAACCCTAAGCCCTGAGCTTTACTCCGCCGCCCGGGGCACATTAGCACATCTGGACCGGGCCTTGGAGCAAAGGCTTCGGGAGCTGCCGCTTAGGGTTTAGAGGCGTAGGGTTTTAGGGTTCAGGGGTTTAGGGTTTCGGGTTTGGGGCTTAAGGGTTTAGGGGTTTAGGGTTCTTTGTTTAGGCCGTGACGTTCCTTTGAGGGCGTATGGTTAAGCCCTAAACCCTGGAGATCTCTACAGGCTTCGGGTGCTTTCGGGTCTTGGGGGTTTGCTAGGGCTTAGGGCTTGTAGGGTTTAGGGTTGAGGATCGCGAGCTTCATTGCAGCTGAAGGTTTCAGCTTGTAATATAGCTATAGGGTCTTTAGAGTTATAAAAAAGGGTCGTGGGGTACATTATGGTATACGTTGTCTTACAAAGGAACCCTCAGGAATATTACTGGTGATGATTCAGGCTTCTCTACTTGTAGTTTGTACTAAATGTTGTTGCTTTTGCTTCACGGTTGGCGTGTTCAGTTGTCGTAGGTCATGCGTGGTTCATCATGTGTGGCAATCTTGCTTTGACGAGACCAGAGCAATCCTTGAATGGGCTCTAAACCCTAAACCCTAAACCCAGTCTTGCGGGCCATCAGTTCTGCTCGAGTCCGTGCGTGTTGCTGGTTCTGCATGATCCGTGTTTTGGTGCGATACGAGGGTTGGAACTCGGGTTTTCCGGACTTTTCGGATCATGGCTGAATCTCTGTATCACTAACATATGCGAGAAAAATCCCTGCGTATGTGACTGAGCATATTTTGCGACGAATGTAGAAATATTGACCTGGAATCTTCGGTTTGCTCAGTCGTTTTTGGCAGGCTACAGACCCTGCAGTCCCAATTTAGGGGCCTTGATAATCGGAATAGGGTTTTGGGGCCCATTAAACTATAATTGTAATGAGGAACCCCCCCAAAATAGTATTCGTATGTATTTAGATGTATTTAGGCCCCTACATTACGTTCCAGTGGTTGCTGCAGCTTGCAGTTCCCTTGCAGTTTGCGGGCAGCGGCTGATGTCCGGCATTCCGGCGGCCCCTGCTGGCTGCAGTTCTTGTCGTCTACTGAACTCATACGTCCTAGTACACACACGCAATTGTGATCGTAGAGTTTTGGATTCTGGATAATCCCCAAACATACACTCTGCGAGAGAGAGAGAGAGAGGGAGAGAGAGAGAGAGAGAGAGAGAGAGAGCGAGAGCGAGAGCGAGAGCGAGAGCGAGAGCGAGAGCGAGAGCATCGAAACAGGTTCAATAGCTATGTAGCTATAGGTCCCAACCCTCACCCGTGTAGCGCCGGGCCTAACTGTACTGTGAGCCCTTTTCAATTCGTCTTCGGGCGCATTCCGGTGCGAATGTTCTCTGAAAAAATATCAAATATCAGGGGTAGTTTGAATATTCCGAGGATTCGGCTAATTCATTACGGTGCAGCTAAAGGTGTCTGGTGCTCCGCTGTGAAGCCTAAAGCCTTACAATGCAGTCGTCGAGACAAGGCCCCGCAACGACACAAATTCTCGAACGTGCTGCCACGGCACAGTCGCTGCAACATGGCTTTCCGCGCCTTGTGTCGGATTGCCTCGTCTCAACAAAGGATGTTTCTGGGGTTCGTTTTTTGTTGTTTGAGGAGCTAGAGTTTAAGGGCTTCAGGCTGGTGTCGAAGGCTATCCTAGCTTGTCTATTCCACTTCCTATAGCCAGAACATACTACAATGTCGGACATGGGGCGGTGACCCTGAGACCCAAAACATAACTCGAAATCTCGTCCAGACCGTTCTACAGAGGAGTTTGAGCCCTAGGGGTCTCTACAAACATAGATATGTGTGCCAGTCATCAGGGTTTAGGGTTTAGGGTTTAGGGTTTAGGGTTTAGGGTTAAGACTGAGGAGGTTGAGGGAGTTAAGGGCTGAAGGCATGGGCCGAGAGGGTTCCGGGATTGAAAGGGCTGTCAGGACAGCAGACACACAAAGCTTGCTCTCGTCCCCACCATACGAAGGATTGAGAGCATGTGAAATATGGGTAGTTCTCTAAATTAGGATCCATTGTTGGGTCCCCAAATATAGTACGGCACCCTGACAAAAAGGACACTCTAATTTAGACAACGACCCATATGCATTGCTGAGATGGTGTGTACGGATGGGGCACCAAGCATGTCCAAGCACAGCGACCTCAGAACTTCACTTGCATCAAGATTCGACACTCCGAAAACTCTAGCGACTCAACCCTAAACCCTCAACCCTAAACCCTAAAACCCTATAAACCCTATAAGCCCTAAATCCTAAACTCTCCAAAATAACTTCAAACTCTAAACCACAAAACCCAAAACCCGGTCAAATTCCTCAACCTTGCCTTTCCTCTTTCCCACATCAGTCCCATGAGTCCAAACATCCAGAGACTCCCATACCCCTTAATAAAGGAATCTACCACGGTTTAGGGTTTAGGTTTAGGGTTTAGGGTTTAGGGTTTAGGGTTTAGGGTTTAGGGGTCCCTACTATAATTTTCAGGTATATTCCTTAATTAAGGGGTATTGGAGTCTCTGGGGCATCTACCTCAAGGTTCAGACGGCTCCACGCAGTACGGAGTCTTACATATGGGAGATTTCCGAAAATAAGGGGTACCGGGTACTTTGGGGTCCTTATAATAAGGATCCTACTATTTGTGGTTTTATATACATATATATATATATATATTTTTTTTTTTAGGTCCCCTATTTTCGGAAACCCCCATATAACCAGTACCTTGGTGACAACTGCAACACCTAACTGCCCGACCTATATAATATAGGGCCCTTAATAATTACCTATACTACTTTTGGGGGGGTTCCTCATTATAATGATAGTATAATGGGCCCCGAAATCCCTTCTATTTTTTAAGGCCCCTACATGAATCAGCTTTGATACCCAGACTGAAGCCCTAGCTCTATGTACCCAGGAACCCTCACACGAACGCTAAACCCTAAACCCTAAACCCTACCCAAGGATCACCTGGCATGACGGGAGAGCCCGCAAGCTTGTCCTACGACTTCCCAGAGAACCCAATACCCCTTAACTAAGGAAGATACCTTAAAGATACCTTAAAATTATGGGGCCTTAACATTATGATCTAAGGCATATTCCTTAATTAAGGGGTATTGGGTTCTTTGGGTTCTTGATTGATCATGAAGGTCTTCTAGTCATAGTCCTCCTCTGATAAAGCTGACACGCAAAAACGCGACCCCAATGCGCGCCAATTAATGTAGGGTCCTTAATAATTGGAAAAGGGTTTTGGGGGTTCCTTGTTGTAAGAATAGCATAATATACCCCCCCCCCCAAAAAAAAA